TAAAATTCATAGTGTACTGTGCGCACTTTCTTTTCTTATTCAAGGTATAAACAGAGTGCGATTGAAAAAAACAAAGTTTTTGTGCACTTTGCTCTGTATAGCGCACTTTGTCATTAGAAATACTGAACATCATGGTTTATCTACTGTTCATTTAGGAAACGTATATGATGAAGATCTTTCATACTGTTTATCACATATGTTTTCAGGTCTGTTTTTCTTTGTCATTTAATTCTTATTTATCACATGGCAACCAAATAATTCCTATTAGAAAAAAAATTTCATCTTCTTTTCTAGTTGGTGGCGCTGTTTGAGCTGAGACAAATCTTAGTGGAATGGCAAAACAATATTCCGCAAGAAATATGTCATCACATAGGACATTAAAATATCGTGAAAAAGGTCAACATAAGCAAGATGAATTACGATAAAATGATCGCGAAGGTATGCGATGTCAACGAAAATATCCGTGATAAGCAACAATCACCATGTGTTTCGTCGAATATTAAACGAATTACATCTAGCAGCGAATCAAAACCAGAATTGCCATCTATTCCGCTTTTTGCCGAAAAATTCCGCAATGTTTTCGCTTTCCGCTTTTTTCCGTCTTTCAATAAAAGAATAAAAGCTCTCTTCGATAGTGGTTTTTCAGCAAATATGAACAAGATACAAACGCTGATCATTAAACACATTTAGTTGATTCTGTTTCAAATCCTATTTAATTAGTAGTAACCGAGTTTCTAATAATAAAAATTTGTGTTTGTTGTTTAGCTTTAAGTACCGCCTACTTATCACAAAATTCAGCACTCGTGCGTTCAGTAATCAGGAAATCTTCGTTATATGTTCTTTGCTATGAGTTTTCACAAGACGGTTTACCATAGAATAGAAAGGTTTCTACGAGAAGGTGTTTTGCCTGAAGTGCTACTTTCTTTACTTTCACGTTTTAAAAAAGTTTTTTAAAAGAAAGGATACTCTATGGAAAGCAGTATCCTGTAGTATTGTAGTAGACAGTGATCATTCATCTTCATATCTTATCACTGTCGTTGATCGGACGGTTACATAAAAGGATACTCTTCCTCAATTCTTGAGCCGGAAAAAGCGAATTTGTCGACTTTACTTTTTTGCTTTAATAATATATTGAAATGGGTCCTGTAAAACAGTTTTAAAAAAGCTGTCCGCTATTTTGGACTTGATGAGGTGTCAACTCTGATCAAAATCTCGAGAAATAAATATAGATTGTGAGTCTTTTTGACATTTTATGAGAAAAGACAATAAATAAATCGTTTTTTTTCTTAAGTGATCCTATTGATAGAACTCGTACTTAAAATAAATCGAAGTTTCATTCGGATAAAGAGGAATGCGCCACTCGACTTGAACAACAACGTTTAGAACAAGAAAAAATTTGTATGGAAAATATTCTCAAAGGAAATTCTTTATTAAACAATTCATCAAATAAATTTCGTGTCAAACGTCGTTGAGATGATGATGTCCTTTTTAAAAATTGTGCTATGTCCTGCACAATTTATTAATGATAGTTTACATTGTGATTTTTCATCGACATTTTATGAAATAAATATTTATTTTGTTTTATATAAAGACAAGAACTTCTTATTATGAAATATATTTTTTGTTTTAGGTAGAGAAAATATCTCAGAATATATCCAAGAAAAGGTACAAAAAATTTCATATATTGAATAGATTTTTTCTATTCAATTTCTCTAAAGATTGTTGATTTAATAAATCAAGTATCACTTTATGGAAAAGACAGTGTTAGAGTTCAATATCTCAAACATCTACAAGAACTTATTTTACTCGAAGATCCAAGTTTACTTGATAATTTTCTTGAAGTTTGTTTTATTTCAAAGACAAAAAAAAAATTTTTTTCGATTTATTTTATATATATTTAGGAAGTACTTGATTTTCAAACAGATAAAAGTCGATAAGTAAGAAAAACAATAATATTATTTATTGAAGAAGTTTGGTTAGTTGAAAAAGATATTTATGTATGATAATTTTATTTTTTAAGTGAATATGATCCAGAAGTTATTGTTAAAGTGATTGATAGTCTTCGACTTTTACTTTATGATGATAATGTACTTGTACAAAAGAAACTAATTGTTAGTATGATAACGATTTATAGATTAACATTAAAGGTGAAAATTTTCGATTTAAAAAAATCTGTTGAAAGATTTTGTTTAGTGCCTTTCGAAATCTCGACTTGTTGATGAAAATGTACGTTGTATGTCGGAGAGTATCAATAATATGAATATTCATATTATTGCTATGCTTGATTCGGATAATGATGGGTAAATTGAAGAGAATTATTTTTATTTTTTTTATAAATTTCGATATAATAGAGTTCGTACAGTGGCAATTCAATTTATTGAAATGCTTGCACTTGTTTTATCACAACGTACACAAGTCAAAATATTAATAAATAATTGAATTTAAGGAAAAACATATTTGTTTTCATATAGAATTCAATTGTTCCGAGTTCAAATGAACAAGATTTTTCTTTAAATTTATTAGAAGATGATCATTGAATATAACGTCGAAATAAACTTGAACAAGAAGGAAAAGATCTAATGGAAAAATTACTTGAATTTACTGTTTCTCAACATTTATCAAGGTATGAAATGAAATTCTTCTTTTTTTTAATTCATTTATTTTATTCATTTAGTGTTAATCTAATAGCAGCAATGGGTGCAATAGGGAATATTGATCGACAAAGACCAGATTATATACAGTAGGGTGCAAAAAAAATTGCCGTTTGACAGAAAAGTTTTGTCAAAGCGTATTTTCTTATTTTTTCAAGCGATCATTTAAAAATTATTCAAAAACGCTAGCCACTAGTTCTGTGCATCCGGTGAAACTAGCAGGTCTCCGAACATGTTACTAGGTTTTATGAAAATGGCAAATCATGCAATTGCTACTACTCTATCAGCGAATCGATTAGTCATCTTATACTATTAGAGTAAGCATTGTCATAAGACCACCAAAAGCTGTCTGTGTAATGAAGACCTCTGTCTATACTATCTAATATAAAATTTCCAAGATTCAAAGGCGAAGCGTTGTGGAGCGTGTGAGTTAACATAGCAGTTTTTTAGCCATAGCAACACGAAATCATCATATGGCCATCAAATAGCAGAAAATTTATGTTAGCTGTATCGTTGTGATCATCACTGGTACAGGCTGCTTATAGGGAGAAACTCTCAAATCTGGATAAATTACAGAGATTCTTGAACGAACCATAGGATAGAACTGTGATGTAAACTGTAAGTTGTTTGATCGCTTCCAAGAAAGCGAACTTTTTCACTCTTATTGATTCGAAGAGAACGCAAAGTTTTTATAAAATGCTATAGTTGTAGACTACAGCACATATATTATCTACCAATCAAAACAGTTTCAATATTCATTGCTTCCAGTACGAGAAATATTTAAAGTGGTAACGGCAATTTTTTTTTGCACCCTACTGTATGTCGAGTTGTACAAACATTTGAAGGATTACAAGGTAAATTTTATTTTAATTAATTTATAAAATTTCAAAATGAATATTTTTTAGTTAATTTACCACCGACATTGGTCGATTCTCAAGTTAGTAGTGTTCGAAAGATAATTAAATTAAAATTATTAAGTCTTCTCAAACATCCTGCTTCATTCGATTTTCAACCACAAATTACAAGATTATTAACTGATCTTGGTGCTACACAAGCTGAAGTATTTCTTTTGTTCTTTTTCATTTTAATAAATATTATTTGTTTTTAGCTTCTTAAACATTTACCAAAAGTTTCATCGGAATCTAAACGTAAATTATCATTAACTAATAGTAAAATAAATGCAAAAAAAATCTAAAATTACTAGTGTATATTCATTGAAAATTCTTCTATTTAATTTCAATTATCTAATATCTAGGATGATACAAATATTTTTGATAAAGATGATTGAAATAGTAGTGTTACTAGAAAAGGAATCTCATCAAGTGGTGCACATGGTTCAACAGTATATTCAACATCAACAAGTTCTTCATCATCTCATCCTCAACATCAAACAGCAATTGATATAACAGCTGCTGATCTTCTTGGAAAATTATCTATTGGAAATCTTGTTGATTTAGTTCTTCTATCAATGTTGTTATTACCGGAAAAAATGCCTGCATCATTTCTCAAGCAACTTATACACCAATTGCAGCAGCTGGTACACTAGCACAAATTAAACATTTAACACGATTACTTGGTGCACAATTAACAGCAGTTGGTTATGGAAAAGATAATGAATTAATGAGATCTGAACAAGTAATTTAAAATAAATAAACTAAAATCTAATGATTATTATTTTAGCATGTTAAACCACCAATTGATAATGATATTGAAGAAGGAAAACCAATATAAAGTATAATGGGTGTTGGACGTGATGATTCGTTTCGTTGATCTTCAACAGATAGTGATATAAAAACAGTTTTACCATCAACTAGTGGAAATGAACTTGGTGATATGCTATCAATATCAGCAGGAGTAACAACAATGTCAACAATTGCAAGTATACAAGAGAAAAAAATGAAACGATTTAAATAAGCTGATGCTATTAAACCAATTGAGTATGATGAAATGCAACGTATGTCAATAGATTCATTTTATCGAATTGTTCATGTCGAAGGTTTGTTAGAATTACTTGAGTATATCAGCTATTTTTTTTTTGATTGTTTATATTAGATGATTGTGAGGCAGCTGGTCTTGGTCATCTAAGAAAAAAAAACAATGACTTCATTAGTATGTTTATCCGAACGACGTTTTCGTGATAGTAAGTATAATGATTTTGCAGAGATTAGCAAGATCTATTTTATTCAAACTCTGAGGATATGCTTCAATTCTATATAATAATAGAAGAGGTGAAAATTTTAACTGAGAATAAAAAGGAATTGTCACTCGAAACAATTCGTTTGAGGAGAATTAGTTTCGATTATCATTGCTTACTGAAAAGATGCGATGTTTATTATTAATAATGAGTGATTCTCTATAATTCGTCAATATCTTATTTAATTTACCTTGATTGGAACATGCTCTTTGTATAGGATGATGTCACTCGTCAATAATGAGTGAGATCGTTTTCTGTAAAAATGAACTTAAATATAAAGGATTTCTACAGAAAGCATGCCGTTTTTCATAATGATCTAACTGCGTAATTTGAACATCCTTTTTCTTCTTAGTCTTCAGTACTTATCCTAAGGAAGAACATCTTGTCTCAGAGTTGTAACTAGTAACGGTAAACGTTAAGTCCGATCCGTTAGAAAATTTCTTATTGACTTAGAGGCACAACTTTTTCTTTATTAGTCGGACCGGATTTTTGCATGTTTTTTCGCAAATCAAAAACTTCTCATCAAACAATTCTATTAAGTCAAAAGATGCCAAGAAAGAGAAAACACATGAAAATAAATAATGAAAAGCACTAGAGTTGTGAAACAATGTTATATCATTATTGTCATAATTAGAAAGAATATATAAATAATGTAGGCTTGATTTGACTGTTATAGGATGAAAAAAACGAAGAATGACTCATGCTGATAAGGTAAAAACCTTAGCGGTTACAACTCTGCCCTGTTCTATTATATATTGAAGGTGCGAAATGCCATAGTTAACTATCGATCTTTATACCTGAAATCATAGGATTAGACTTTCTATTTATTTTTCAACGTATTATAAATTTCATATTGAATATTTAGTGTATGAAGATAATAATATTTGCTGATATACGTAAATGTCATGATCTTGCTTTTGCATGACTTTATCAAGGATATATTTATGCCAATGGATATTTAAGTATATTAGAGTGAAATAAAGGAAAAGATTTTACTAAATATGATTAGAGATTATGCCGATTACTTGAATATTTATAATAAAAAGTCGATCAACGTGACGGATAAATTAAACAAAAATACTTAATTCAATCATTTACTTGATTATCTTCTTTTTAGTTTATTCTCTCGTTTATTAACTAGTGCACCATTAATAACCGATAATGCATAACTTGTACTTAAACGATATTGTCAAGATGAAACTCGTTCTTATGTCGGTATGAATACATAAAGTGATCTGATCTTTCGTCGAATAAATATACGTGAAAAATGTTTCGATATTTTACTTGATTTTACTCATAATGAAAATGTTTCAATAAGAAAGAATGCTTAAGGTATTGCAAAAAGTTTACATGAAAAAGAAGAATTTAAACAAGCAATTGAAGTAAATATTTAAATTAATTTAATCGAAATCTTTCGATGTGTGTTTTTTTCAGCGACATGCTTTTCGAATTTTTGAAAGATTTAGCAGCACCACAACTGCCTGAACCACTCTTTGGTGAAGATAAGAATGGATCAACAAGTAAAAGATTGATTTTAGATGAATATTTCAAATAAATTCTTTTGTTTCTAGTACCAATTGATACTTGAACAGAAGATTCAATTTGTCTTTGTCTACCGTTATATCTTAGTTTAATGCCATCTAATCATTATTTAATAGAACCGTCAAATTAAATGAATAATTTCGTTTTAAATTCATTTTTGTATATTTTTATAGATTAGCAACAATCTATACAGCAGTTAATCGTGATATAAAACGAATTATTCTTCGTGTTTTAGAAATTCCTGTAAGTTTCAGTTAAGTTTTCTTTATTTTTATTATTTTATTATTAAGGTTCACGGAATGGGTATGGGTAGTCCAGAAATATAAAAACTGATTGAAAATTGTCCTAAAGGCGCTGAAACATTAATTACTCCTATTATTCATATTCTCACTGAACAAAGTATGGTTATTTTCTTCTGATTTCTCATAAATATTTTCGTCTTTTAGCTTCACCATCACCTGAATTGGTTGAAAAGTACGAGATTTATATAATAAACGTGTATGTGATGTTCGTTTTCTTATACCGATACTTACCAGCTTGGAAAAGGTTTGTGAATTTATGTTTTAGTAGAAAATAGAATCTGATTTATTTTAGAGAGAAATTCTTAGTGCATTGCCGAAATTGATTAAACTTTCACCACCTGTGGTTAAACAAGTTTTTAATCGACTTTTGGTTTGTAATGGTAAGTTTGACAAGTGATGGATTTTTACACATGATGTTTACTTCAGTGTTTTCATTCGGATGAGAATTACAGTTCTTGCTACTAAGAAGGTCAATATGAGAATTTAGATAGCTGATGCGAGTAATGTTCAATGTATGACTGATAGCTCGAAGAATGAGTCAGACTGTTTGACAATTGATCTTTATAGGTTAGAAGGACATTCAACAAAGATGAAGTCTATAGCAATACTGTCATGTAATGCACTCATCGGTTGGTGGATATTCTAGGCTTGTATCGGGTGCAGATGATATTAAAATAACTAAAGATAGTAATAGACTTCTTCATCAAATGGTTTCTATTCATATTGTTTTTTGTTCGATAAAATTATTTTATTTTATAGGAAATTCAACATCCAAACTGCATCACTTATTGCACGTGCTGCCTAAGCACAAGATGATATAACAGGTGATGGAACAACATCAATTCTATTGTTAATTGGTGAATTACTTAAACAAGCTAATCTTTATATTGCCGAGACAATAGAAGAGAAGATGATAGAAAGAGAGAAATTGATTTGTATAAGTTTTTCTTCATAGGGTCTTCATTCGCGCATTCTTGCTCAACGTTTTCAATTAGCAAAAAAAGAAGCATTACAAGTGCTTGACAAACTTAAAATACCGATAAAAGCTGATCGTGAAACATTGATTAAAATAGCTCGTACTTGTTTGCATAGAAAATTATCAATTGAAAATGGTGATATTCTCACTGATGTTTGTATTTATCTTTTCTTTTCATAATAGAGATATTCTCTTTTAAATAAAAAAAAGATTGTTGTCGATGATATATTAGCTATAAATGAAGCAGGCAAACCGATTGATTTAAATATGGTTGAAATAATGGAAATGCAACATCGAACAGAAGCTGATTCACGTCTTGTACGCGGAATCGTTCTTAATCATGGTGCTCATCATCCATCAATGCCTAAAGCACTTTAAAATGCTTATATATTAACTTGTAATGTTTCACTTGAATAGGAAAAAATGTATGCCATCAATTAAATTAATATCATATTTGAGTATGTTTTTGTTTTTAGAGAAGTTAATGCGGAATTTTTTTATAAAAATGCTGAAGAACGTGATCGTCTCGTTGCATCTGAACGTAAATTTATTGATGATCGTCTTCAAAAAATAGTTGAACTTAAACGAAAAGTTTGTTCGGATGATAATAAAAATAAATGATTTATGGTCATTAATAACAAAGGCATTGATCCATTATCGGTTGATGTATTAGCTAAAGAAGAAATTTTAGCATTAAGACGTGCTAAACATCGAAATATGGATCGTTTAACTTTAGCATGTGCTGGTCAAGCTATGAAGTAAGAATATTTGAAAATTTTAAATGAGTATTTTCAATTTCTTCTGATTAGTTCGCTTGAAAATTTAACAAAAGAATCTCTTGGATTTGCTGAAGATGTTTATGAACATGCTTTCGGTGAAGAAATATTTACAATTGTTGAAGCTTGCAAAAATCCAAAATCAGTAACAGTTTTACTCAAAGTTTCAACTAAACACATATTAAATCAAGTTAAAGATGCTCTTCGTAATGGTCGTCGTTCAATAAGAAATGCACTTGAAGATGGTTTTATTTCTAATTTGAATAGTAAATTATTTTTATTTTGGGTTGTCTTATTCTTGGTGAAGGTGCTTTTGAAATTGTTACTCATCAAGAATTGACTTAATATAATGAACAAGTAAAAGGTCGTGCACGTTTAGCTGTTCAAGCGTTTGTTCAAGCATTATTAATTATTCCAAAGGCTATTGCTCAAAATGCTGGTCATCATCAACAAGAAACAATTGTTAAACTTCAAAATGAATATGCAACATCGAAAATACTCGTTGGTATTGATATAACAACAGGTAAATATTTTTCCTAAATGAAATAAATAACAAAAGTGATGAAATTTGTTGCTATAGGTGAAGCAATGGAACCAAAATCTTTAGCTATTTTTGATAATTATCGTGTGAAAAAACAATTGATTCATTCAAGTACATCAATTGAACCGAATTTAATTCTTGTTCATGAAATTCTTCGAGCTAGTTTATGGGTGTGGGTGTGGGTGGGTGTGGGTGTGGGTGTGGGTGTGGGTGGGGGGTGGGCGTGGGGTGTGGATGTGGATGTGGGGTGTGGGGTGTGGGCGTCGACTTGTGGCTGAGGGATGTGAAATATGGGATGTTGATGTGGGTATGGCGATGAATGCCAATAATCAACTGCTGCACGGCGATACCCACGCCCACACCCACCCTCACCCACACCCATATAGTTATTGATAAGAAAAACCAATGAATATTTAACATTTATTGTTATTTTCTTTAATAAAAATAAAACTATTCTCGAACTATATGATTACTAATGATATTTTATATCTTTTTTTTATTGCCATTTCTTCTATTTTCACTTTAAATCTTCTTAAATCTAATAATGAGTTACATAGAAGAGATAGGGCGAGGTTTAGATCTTTGTAAATTTAACGATAATTTAGATAAAAAAATGATGGAACTCTACATGTGAAATTTACTCCATACTTTGAATTGAAATCCTAACATTTCCGATTCCACTACTTTGCATCGATCGCTAATTCAATCAAGTCCAATTGTGTCTAACAATTTCAATGTTCAAAAACCAGGTTTAATTTTACCTGCCACAAACATCGACAGACGACCACCAGACTTATTAATAATACATAAGACAGAATATAAATTGAATATTTACATCATCATAATATTGAATGCATAGAAACAAAATTTCACTCACACTCTGAAATACTATTAAAATCGCGAAATCCATGTTTGGCCCGTACAAACTAAGCATAACTAATTGATATGTACACTACATTTTTTAACTCGAGTTATCTATCCAGTAAGACTCTACAAAACCAATCAAAATCCAAAGACTTCCATCATTCACTTTAAGAAAATCAAGATATTTTGTTGTCACTTTAAGATAAAATATAATATGAAGAAAACGAAATCACATATTCAATTCAAAAGTTTAGTTCTTGAATAATTCATGCTTCAAAATCAATGTTCATTAACTCTTTCCTTGATTATTTCGTTTTATCAATTCGTACAAACAAGCTTCCAGCTTGTCTCCGATTCGATTGTTTTGGAGATGTAGTGTGGTGAGTGTCTGTGTGAAAAAGTGCAAATGGATATATGAGAGAGATAAAGAGAGAATGAGGGTCACCGTGTTCTGTTGTAATGCATCAGCCAGATGTTGTGCTCCGACAGGTCCGATTTGATTGCCAAAGACATTGAGTGCGGTGAGTGTCTGTGTGAAAAAGTGCATCTGAGTATATGAAAGAGATGAAGAGAGAATAAGGGTCACCGTGTTCTGTCGTAATGCATCAGCCAGATGTTGTGCGCCGACAGATCCGATTTCATTCCAGGAGATATCGAGTGTGGTGAGTGTCTGTGTGAAAAAGTGCAGATGGGTCTATGAGTGAGATGAAGAGAGAATGAGAGTCACCGTGTTCTGCCGTAATGCATCAGCCAGATGTTGTGCTCCGACAGATCCGATTCCATTCCCGGAGAGATCTAGTGTGGTGAGTGTCTGTGTGAAAAAGTGCAGATGGGTATATAAGAGAGATGAAGGGAGAATGAGGGTCACCGTGTTCTGTCGTAATACATCAGCCAGATGTTGTGCTCCGACAGGTCCGATTTCATTCGCGGAGAGGAATAGTGTAGTGAGTATCTGTGTGAAAAAGTGAAGATTTGTATATGAGAGAGACGAAGAGAGAATGAGGGTCACCGTGTTCTGTTGTAATGCATCAGTCAGATGTTGTGCTCCGACAGATCCGATTTTATTCCAGCAGACATTGAATGTGATGAGTGTCTGTGTTAAAAAGTGCAGATGGGCATATGAATGAGATGAAGAGAGAATGAGGGTCACCGTGTTCTGTCGTAATGCATCAGCCAGATGTTGTGCTCCGACAGGTTCGAGTTCATTCCCGGAGAGATCTAGTGTGGTGAGTGTCTGTGTGAAAAAAGTGCAGATTGGTATATGAGAGAGATGAAGAGAGAATGAGGGTCACCGTGTTCTGTCGTAATGCATCAGCCAGATGTTGTGCTCCGACAGGTCCGAGTTCGTTCCCGGAGAGATCTAGTGTGGTGAGTGTCTGTGTGAAAAAGTGCAG